AGCCCAAACCGCATGCTAACCAGAGAGCCCATAAAGGCCCGATGGAGTGGCCCAAATGGCCCACGACCCAAATTCCAAAACCCCACGGGACACACACTCATAAACTGACCAAAGAGGTTTGGAAGGTCCAAACCATGAGAAAGAAAGGCCTTAAGCTAAGGTCCACTTTGGAGGGCCCAAGAGTAGCTACTTCGTCGCTTCGAAGGGCCAACATAAATCTATTGAATCCTGTATCTTTACCAAACGACTAAGCCGTGAACCATCAAACATGGAACGACTTATCTGCAAGAGGAAGAGGAGGTTTGTGATTTATGAATCCAATAAGGGAAAGAAGAGTGAGGAATTTGATTCTAAAAGGAAAAAGAAAAAGGAAGAAGACTCCTTAAAGAGGGCCAAAGAATTCCTAAAAATAGTTGAATTCCAACATCTTAAAGTGAAGAAGGGAGTAGACTTTGATGTCCAAAAGGAGATCACTCTCCCACATTAATTGAAAGTCCAAAAACAAGAAGAATTAGACATGAAAATGATAATTCTTTGCTGGAAATTTCATAATGTAAGTTGGAGAAGAACACTTAAGAAAAGAGTGAAAGAATTCAACTTGGAGAATAACTCTAAGGTCCTTCAATAATTAAGCAAGAAGAAGACTTTAAGACCGATTGTCCAACCCACTTTCTAAGTCCAAATTCACAATTTTATAACGAGTCTAATTCACATACGATTCAAGAAAATTCATTGAAGAAAGAAGAGCTAGAAGGTGAAACCACCTAGAAGTCTAAACCAGAAAGGAAGAGTGAATTTGGCTATAGAGAAGACTTTTAATTTTTTTTTAATTTTTTAATTTTTTTATTCCTATTCAATTTAAGATTAGTTTATTTTAATTTAAGAGTTCAAGTAGGAAACATAAATCCTACTTCTAATTGTATTCTTAAATAAAAGCCTCTATAAAGGTTTAAGTCCAAGCTTAATAAACACAATTTTGAGAACTAATAAATTTAAAGTTTTGAGCTTTTATTTAGAATTAGCTTTGTGCTAATTTTTCTTCTTTAAGTTCTTCGAAAGTAAGGAATTTTTTGAAGTCTTGTTGAGCCTAGGAGTTGAGATCGACTAATCAGGTAAGTCTGCGACGCCTTTATTTTTCTCGTTTTGTTTCTTTGTTCTTATTTTTGCATGTCATATTCTTGGTTGTAGATTCAAATAGAGGGAGGGGTTAATTAGGCAGTTAAGTTTATGAAATTGAATATGTTGGGTTGAGGTTTCAGAAGTCAAAATGATTCTTTCCATACCATCCTGCGTCAAACATGTAAATACCTTATGAGTACTAGGATAAATTCAACAACCAAGACATCACCATTCTTCTTTTTCTAGCTACTTTTGTGATATGTTAGCATAGTCTCTGCATATTCGAAATGGACGCTTTATTCTCATGGTTCTTGTGACTCTATATGCTATTGAAAATTGTTGAGAGGATCCTTTATAAAATTATCTCTATGTTTATAGTGCTGGTAGGTGATGGAGGACACCTCTACTCTATACCATGAAGAAAATGGAACCAGAAAAATTAGTTTATAGGTATCATATACAAAGCTTCTATTATTTATTATAGGTAGAGTTATATGTGCTTCGTGTTTTTATATCTCAATCTATATGTTGTGATCGTGAATAATCTGAATACCACTTGATGGTGTTGTACTTATTATCTTTTATATAATAATATATTTATAAAAAAAAAACAGAAAACAAAGTATTTACCGGTTGATGGTATACAGTAAATGGCTTAAAAAGAACAAAACGAGCATAGTTGATAAATATAAAACGCAATTCTGAGTAGAAATTGCAATAAGGCAAATAAATGTGCATATAATATGCTTTTGGGCTGCCATATGATGTGGCTATTATCTAGGTTTACGGAGTTGTATATTACACTTTTAGATTCTAGTTTTGGGTATGTGATCTTTATCTTATGAGTTATCTTTTAATTGATATTTTAAGTATTTGTTTGTAATTTTCTTTTTTCATCCACAAAATTATTTTTATTTTTTTGAAAAAAGCATGCATATAATATTAGCATGAACGAAAGTCCCCAAATTGGCCAAAACAATGGAGGTAAATGGTGTTATCATTATGCATATATAAATCAATCTTTACTAAGTTTATATATAAGACCAAAAACTTTAATACAAAATGTTACTTTTCCTTTCTCTAACATTATTAGTGACATCATAGTGGAACAAAGTCAAATATTTTTATTGTTTAGGAGGAAGTCAAATATCTTTATTTAATTCTTTTTCTGATATCTTAAGAGTCAAAGGAAACAAAAAAGAATTAAGCACTCTTATACATATTTAAACGTAACAACATAATAAAATATTCATTAGATTTGAAGCGTTTGACAGAGAGAGAGAGAGAGAGAGAGCCTCACATTGTATATTTGAGGACTTACATGAATGATATTATAAGATGAGAGAGTTATGTCGTCACCTTCACAAGCACGTACGTTAAGGAAGGTAGCCACATAACACATCGCACATCACATTGCCTACACGCACCAACTTGATTACCCAATAAGGACTTAAACACAATTAAATCAAACCCCTTTAACTACACATATATATAAATTTTAATTTTTGTAATCCTTGATATAAAAAAATAATAATCACATGCATACCGTACGTCCTCAGCTCTCATCATATATATATATATATATATATGATCACCAGCTGATCAGTTAAACTTGACAAGTGGCACCACCACCATCTTTGTCTTGTTTCACTTTTCCATCAAGCATGGCGCCACCTTCCTTCACGTTTTGATTATCTTCACGATGATGAATTACCACTTCGTTTACAATCATATCATTCAACTGCGGCACCACCGTCGTCAGCTCTGAACACACCATCGTGCTTAGCTTCACTACATCAACTATGTGTTCTGATAACTCATGAAGCTTTGGCTCTTCCAATACTTTCTTGGCGTTTTTGTAGATCAAGTAAAGCAGCATTTGAAGGATCCCAAAGATGAATCCAAGAACATTTGGTATCTGTATTAATTTATGTCCAGAATTAATTAATTATGAAAGATGAAACTAAGTTTGAAGAAAGATCAAGCTGTGAGATTTTGAAACTTACGGCAATGTTCAGGTCTTTCATAAGAAGACCATAGAAGAACCACATGACTGCACCGAAGGTCAGGCAGCATGACAAGGGAAATGGCATGAACTCCACACTCTTCGTTTTTATAACTTTTCTCTAAACAATATAAGCCAAAATTAGGGAATTAACATAAAGAGGTTACGAATCGGAGTCAGAGTTGTGTTCTGCCATATATTTATTTAAAGTTTAGTTTCTATTATATTATTATTAATATTTACATATCACTAATTAATAATATATGACTATATATTAAACAATTACCAAAATGCAAAGAGGTGCAGCAAACACGCTGAGAGCAAACGCCATGCAGATGTATCCGAGTACCCTTAGACGATTGTCACCTTCTGCTAGGAAGAGAGTTGAGAAACAGATAACCCCAAAGCCGAAAACATTGAACAGAAGCAGAAGCTTCACTGTCAGGATCTGCATCATGTGCATATTTATATGTTGGAAACTTATTATTTTGTTAAAGAATTACTAATATATGTATAAGTATATGTACATACCCTTATCTTTCTTGGGTGCATAGACAAGGTATGCAACAATGTAGCAAGTCTCAATAACAATGCAGAATGTGTTGATGGTGATTAGGAGGATTGCATCTCCTTTAAGGATTGCATAATATATCCAGAGCATGGCACTGAACAGTGCAATCACGTAGGGAATTGACTGAAACCCTTCTGCAGTTTTCTTCTTGTATATTTGATAAAATGTTGGCCTGCAAATTAAAATATATAAAAAATTCTGAGGACTGCACGGCTGCTACTACTAAAAAAAAAATACTGATAGTGAACGTTTAAACGTTGCGAAAAAGAAGAAACTAAAGCTATTATAAAAGGCTTACAGGGGAGCAAGGCCGACCATGAAGGAGATGATGTTACCTATATTTATACACAAAATAAAAAAGACAAAAAGAGAAAAGCTCCTGTTAATCTACGTTGGACCCAGTTAATTCTTGAGGCAGTTGATCATGATAATGAATGGAAAATTAAACGTTAGAGAAAAGAAAAATGAAACGATTTGTAAGATTGATATAGACCAACATTGTTGGTGATGACGATGAAGATGATGAAGTGAAGAAGGAAAAGAAAAAGAAAGAAAGGAGTCCAGGTACCTAGAACACCGAACACGAAACCCCAGGTTGACTGGCTGATAGCCATCTCTATAATTACTATATATGTATATATTGAGTCCCTCTTCTTGATTTCCTTTTTTGTTTTATACACACTCTCTTTCAAGAATGTATATAATCAAGTAAGCCTCTTGCTATCTCATGCTCTCTCTCTCTCTCTCTCTCTCTCTCTTTCTTTCTTTCTTCGTTGAAGCTCAGATTCAGGTGAAGATATATACTACCCAGAGGCAAGGGAGTAGGGATTTATATAGGAATGGAAGAGACATGAATGTTAATGCAATAAAACAGTAGCAGTGGATAAAATTAAAATTAAAAAAAGAAAAAAAAAAAAAATGAAAGAGCATTATTATAATGTTGGATTCCTCTTTCCAGTTGTTCCTAACTTTACTTTTTACATTAAACACCATATATCTATCCTAATTGCTTTTGTAGCCTCAATGCCTTCTTTATCCATTTTTAACTTATTACACCTATACTTACAAGGTACAATTGCTACTTTAACAAAATTATAGTGGACCCCACCATCATTCTTTCTTATGTGTCACCCACCAAGTGGGTGTTATAAGCCTTACAACTCATCTTAAGTGGGGACTCCAATATCATATTTTCAATCTTTGCCTCCAAAATTTAATTTCATTCTGATTATAAATCCCATGTTTAATTAGGTTGGATACATCAATATTTTGCAAAGTTAGTTAATCATCATCTATGAATCATATTAATTTCATCCACTTGACTTCAATCCTTCATTCCTAAACTGATTATCAAAAAGTAAACAATTAGTATTAAAAAAAAAAAATCACATGACTCATAGTATGTACTTATAAGATACTTGTATCTGTTTTTAACTTTTCTGATATATATATATATATATATATATATATATATATGTGTGTGTGTGTCTGTATAACCTAAAACAAAATTGAATTTGACTTACTAATAATAACCAACAAATTATTTGATTGCACATGGGTAACTTTTTGTAAGATAAATTTATGCATCTTGTATATTTTCATTATGAGATTACACTATGTATATATGTATCATTTAATCAATAATAAATAAACCTAATTCTCTCTAATATAAATATGACAGAAATTGTTTCATTTTATCTCTAATTTAATTAATTTATTTTTAATTAGTTAAAATACAAGTTCATAATTGAAAGATTAAAAATATAAAAAATTAATTTAATTATATAATTGTTTTCATATATCTAATAATTAAAATTACTTTGCATAGTGGAGAGTTCAATTTGGAGGAGGGGAAAAGAGCCCGCCCCTGCTAACCCTAAAAAAGTTATGAATCCCAACACCATACAATTCTTCCCATTGTGGATGGTGGCCGAGGAAGGAATGAGAATGGGCCCCGGCCTCCGGTAAATATCTCCATTATTATTATATTTACATTACTGTATAATAAAAAAGTTATATAATTATTATTATTATTATTTTTTGAAACCAAACAATCAATTCATTAATTAACTCGAGTATGAAACAAGCATATTCTGGGGAATATTTGTCCCAGACATGGAAGTTTGGAAAATCAAAAGCAAACTTGGCCAGAGTATGTGCCAACCTGTTACATTCCCTACCCACCCAATTCGCTGTAATATCTTGTCTGCTAATTAACATTTCAATACAATCAGCAACAATGAATCCATACTCTGAAACATCTTCAGACTTGGAGTTCACTTTAGAGACCACCTTTTGTGCATCCAACTCAATACTCCCTTTGCCTTGAACATTTACTATAATGAATTGCAATGCTGCTCTGCAACCCAAAAGTTCGGCCAGATAAGGATCCTGACAACCCAAATGCCTACCAGTAAAAGCGTTGATCACACTCCCCGAGGCATCCCGAAAAATTGCTCCATACGTGGCCTCCATTTTCGAACTGCAAATTGCACTGTCAACATTACATTTCCACGCACCCGCTTCTGGAGGTAGCCACACAGCTGGGTGAGATGGCTTGGAGCTCTGATGATAGATATCCCTAGCTTTTCAAATAATTTCGCTTGCTGCCAATCCGATAAAAACTTCCGCATCAGATAAATTTTAGTCGACTCTGCAAAGTACTTACCCGACCACACCAAAGCGTTCCTCTCCCACCATAATCTCCACAAACAAAAGAGCACCTGCTGTAGTTGACCATCTGATAGAGTAGACATTAAATTTGCTAGCCAGGACAATAAATTAATATCTGCTGATATTTGGAACATTTATACCCAGCATCTGTGTGCTTTCCAACATTCAAAGAAGACGTGTGAGGGTCTCGGGTTGTTCACATCTTGGGCATCGGGAAGCGCCACTTACACCCTTTTCTCGTAGTCGAGTCCGAGTAGGAAGGGTATTATTCAACATTCTCCAGATAAAAATTTTCACTTTAGGAGGAATATCTGCCGACCACACATGAATAAAAATTAGTTATATAACTATTTTAATTCATAATCACAGCGTAACGTTTTTTTTATGTAGTCAGAATTTTTTGAATTTTAACATTTTCATGTTATTATAATTAGTAAGTATTATATATATTATGTATATTTGTTTAGATATCCAGATTTTTATAATATATAACTAATCACTTTAATCCACAATATATTTATATATGTGGTTTGCGCCTACACGTGCATGGCGCATGTTCATGTGCCCTTCAAATGTACTACAAAAACAATTCTTTTAGATGGGTCCGGAAAGGATCAAAATCAAATTATCAACTTTTATTCGATAATATCAAAATTAATACGTCCAAACAAATAAAATCATTAGAACCAAATTTAAAAATTTTCTGTGAGTCTCCTTGGACCATCATGCTAATAGGACCCATTGTTATAGATATGTCTAATCCATAAATTAAACTCAACAGCTATGTTAACTCCATATATATGATGAGGTTTTGACATCACCATAAGCGACTGTACCAATTAGAAACATCAATGTTTAATTTCTAGAATCTTCAAAGGAAAGGGCAATATCTCCCTCTTCCTCCAATAAATCCTGTTTCATAGCAAGTTCAAAATTTCCACCAATGTTCTCGGTCTAATTACCATGATATGGGGCCTCCATGTATTTCTTGCAAATACTCGTTATTCCTAATGCATGTTTTCGTGTTAAAACCAATGCATGTGTTTTGCCAAGAGAAAATAAATGCTATGTAAAAAAATAAATTAATATATATTAATATTATATATTAAAATATGTTAATGTATGATACCATATATATACAGTACCAGTTCGGATTTTTAACTGATGCACAATCCTAAAAGGTACAAGCTTTTCTGTCATCGCTAGTTCATTTTATCAACTGTCTTTTTACTCTCTTCTTTAACTTATAAAATGTGTTATTCTTGCTTTCTATCCACTAGTCATCATTCTTCCTTTTCGTGTGTAGCCAACCTCCTATAAGCTCAGTGTCATGCAAGAATTAAAGCAATTTGCTTGTAAAAATGCTTCTAAACTGAACGCCGAACGATTATATCTATTACCCTCCCTTTGATTGAGGCGATTATTAGCTTTCGTTGCATTTCACTTAGTGCGCGTTAAACATGCACATTTTTATTTGATTGTATTATTATAGTTAATTGTTATGATCAATATCCTCTCTTATTCAAGGAGGTTTTTGTTGGATCTTGTAATGGAGGTTTTAGGAATGTTCGGCCTCGTGTGAAATAGGCTAGATCGACTGACCCATTTCATCGCCCTATTTAGGTTGACCTTAGAGCATATTTTCGAAAAGTGTCCAATTTTCTTGTAATAAGTATAATAATATTTTTCTTTGTTGGGACTTACATTTTTATATGACTTGTTTGTTTCCTTTATACTAAAAGCCATGGTCAAGTTAGTTACAAAGTTTAAAGAAATTTCTCTCATTTTCTCCTCTTATTAGAAGCTGGAGAATGCCTCATTCAAATTGAGAAAAAAGCTTCATTATCAGGATTTGGGCTGTCATATTACTGTATGACTCATTAAGTCTCACAAAAAATTTTTATTATATTATTCCTTTCCCAATGCTCAAGAATAAGTTTCAGTCCCCTATATGTGCAGTTGGGGATGGGTTCATAGTTCATGAGTTCATCAATCAAAGATTTGAGTTTTGTAAATTAAGCCCTTACTGGCTCCTGGTTTTGTATGAGTGCAATTATAAATAACTTGATTTGATACACTATTTGTCATACCTTGATACTCGATATGAGGCACAGTTCCTACTCATGTCATTCTCATGCAGTGGACCCATAAAATATATACATGCATAGATAAAAAAAATATAATATAACCTAACATCTCAGGTGATATGTAAAGTAATTACATATACAAAACATGAGGTCATAATTTAGAGTCTAACAGAACAAAATAAAACTTTTCGAACATGCATAAAATATACAAAAACAAGAACCATTTTTATAGGTTCTACTTGTCTAGCAGCGGTGCTGACTCTTCATTCTCTTCTAAAAAATATCAGGGTGAAATTTAATGAGTTTCATCAACTCAATAAATATTTTCGTTCTCTCAACTCAAATAAATTTTCATACAAAGTATACGGTAAGAAACAAAAGTAATAAAAATATTTTAGTGCAAAATTCATGTTCTCACTTTGACTATTTCACATGTTCTTGATCGATCTGATAAATTCTATTGAATATCATATACAAACCTCAAATATATATTCCCATACCATTAAAAGTCATAAATGCACTCGAATATCAATCGTCATTTTGAAAAACAATCACAAAAAAAAAATCACTTATACACTCAAATATAATTCATAATCTCAAAATATAATCACACACACATAAAAGATCACAGATACACTCGAACGTTCATTTCTATGGCTTCATCGCGTGATGTCGTTTATGTCATCATCGAGAAAAGGTGAAATGGATCCCCTAATCGCATGGATAGTACACACACAAATCACACAATGGCCACAGCATGTACGTTTGCTAGGTGACCCACACATGAATGCCTATCCACATCTGGATTAGGTTTCAAACTCTATCTATGTACAAGTTCACCATGCCTGCTGAACTTCAGCCACACACACATACTCCCTTCCTCGATTTAAACTAAATGAGAAAGTATTCAGTGTCCCTACCCTCTTCACTTCTGCCCTCTCATTTCAAAATTCTCAGTTTGTTTAAATGATCATTTCTTAA